GGGTGGGGGTGGTGGTGATCATGATATGGGGGTCTTATTAAACTCCTGACCTGTGGGTCAGTCGAGTCTCGCAGAAGGATATTATGATGTGACTTATATTTGACGTCAAAATTTAATGTAAGTGCGGCTCACTCAATTTGCTCACACGGCACCTTTTTGCAAAGATGTTGTCCGGGGCTTTTATGATTTTTTGATCTTTTATAGGCTACCATAGAACCACTCATGTTTCGGGAGTAAGTAAGTAAGTTAGTTCAGTGTGTAACACTAAGCCGTCACAAGTCTCATATATAGTAAAATCTCTTGCCACCCATCAAAGGCAACGACATTTTTGGGAAAAATCCAAAGAAACTGGGTGGTAAACATTGCCGATTGACGAGATGAGGCGGCAAAGTGTTATGGCCTTTGGCCCACATCACGTTATATAAAACACTCTTTTGTTTAAAAGTTTCCATTATGAAAGTGTACAGGTTGTGCACATTCTTATCATGGGTCAAACATTGCATATTTCTGTCACTGGGCCGAGTCAGGCTGGGAGGATTTCTGAATTGGTATTGATAAGGATTGAGAAGAATAGATTTATATGTTGAATGTTCTTAAGCAGGAAACTGCCGTGTACCACTCTTTATGCTTACTAAACCCCTAAACCCCTCATCTCTCCCTGTGCCGCTTACAGAAGGTATGGAAGGATTTCCTCCGAGGCCTCCGTTCCGTGGGCCGGCTCCTCAGGGAGGCTTCATGCGCCAGCCACACCCGGGCATGGGACCCCAGGGACAACGTCCAGCCTTCTTTCCTGGCCCAGGGGGCATGCCGCGCCCGCCCATGGCTGACCAGTTTGCTGGGCAGGGACAGGTGAGATGCACATTGTTAGCTCTTGCGTTTTTAACTGTATGTTTTAGGCGGGAAAAGTGAAGTTCATACTTTCTGTCTGCATTTTCAGGACGTGGTATTTATATAGATGAGGTTATGCTATAGTAGTGGAAGTGGAAAATTTAGGTCAACTTGATTTTTCTTTTTAAACAGTTGCTAATTCATTATATAGGTTCTCAATAACATTTTGTCCTTAGGGCAGGGATGGATTTCCAATATAACTTAGCTATCAATAAAAATTGTGACATTAATTTTGAGCTGGGATTGGG